TTTCCGATTCTGTGTCTCCCTCTCTCTCTGCCCCTCGCCCGTTCATGCTCTGTCTCTCTCTGACCCAAAAATAAATAAACGTTGAAAAAAAAATTTTTTTTTAAAATAAAAAAAAATAAAAATAAAAATAAAAAATGCTTTCTGGCCATTCTTGGGGAATCTCCAGACAGCAGACAGCTCTAGAATATGGAACTCGCCTTCCTGGTCCCCCCCCCCCCTTTGCCTGCAGCGGAGTGGCCGGTATTCTAGTCAGGGAGTGGCCTCAGGGCCCATTCTCCGCCACCCCCACTCCTTTGGGGCGCTTTCACGCTGGCTCTTCTTCAGAGGACTCCTCTGGGGCTGGGGCTACCGCGACCGCGGAAGGAAGCTTCTGGGAATTTCTTTAACCTGTGACCTGTGACCGGCAGGTGGAGAAGAGCGTGTGAAAGCCCAGTCACCTCGCCACGGTCCAGAGAAATCGGCAGCGAGATTCAGAGTCCAGGCAGGGTTTCCCCGAGGGACCAAGCTGGAGCTGCTCTCTCTGGGCTTTTTCCTGAGACTCAACCCTCAGCCGGCTTCCTCCTCTTCCCTCTCGGCTTTCCTCACTCGGCCCCCAGAGCAGCGCTCTGATAAATCTCGGGCACACGACTTCTTTCGTCAGGGTCTGCTCGCTGGGTCGTGGGGCCCCAGGTTGAGAAGATGTGCCCGCCACCCCTTCTGACGGTGGCTGCTGTAGGCATTGACTTTGTAACCTGGTGTACGACGAGGGTGGTACATTTTTGCTAAGAATAGTATCTGCAGTCCACTCATTCCTGGTCCAGAATACTCTGATTAGGTTGGAAGGGGACGTGCTTGTTTTTCAAAATCGCATCGTTTTTCTGCGGAGATCTAAAATTTCCGGAAAACTGAAGTTGGGCTGAGGACCCCTTTCTTGCAGAGGAGAAATGGGCTCTATTAATATTTTAAAATGCTCCTTACAAATTTATGATTACTTTGTTAATTCAGGGACATAAAGGAATCTTTCCATTTTTGCAGTTACTGGTCTTTATTTACAAAGAACCTGAGGAGAAAACATCAGCGTTTCATTTAGGAGAACTATAATATCGCCAAGGGAGGTTTATATGTTGCCGGATTCAATCTGCTAATGTTGTGTTGATTGTCACATCTTTGAGATACCGTGAGGGATATTATTGGTCTGGGATTTTCTTGTAATACCGTTGTCAGGTTTTGGTACCGGCTTTCAGCTGGCCTCAGAAATGAGTTGGTGATCATTCCCTCTTTTATGAAGAAGTTTCTGTAAGACAGGTACAGGCACACCTCATTTTATTGTGCCCTGCTTTGTTGTACTTTGCTGTTTTTTTTTTGTTTTTGTTTTTTTTTTAACATATTGAAGGTTTATGGCATCCTTGCGTCGAGCAAGTCTATTGAGGCCCTTTTTCCAACAGCATTTGCTCACTTTGTGTCTCTGTGTCATATTTTGGCAATTCCCACCAAATTTCATGCTTTCTCGTTATTATCACATTTCGTATAATGACCCGTGCTCTCCGATGTCGCTGGTGTCATGTTTGGGGGTAGCACAAACCACTCCCTTACAAGATGGTGAGCTTACTTGAGAGTTGTATGTCCTCTGAGTGCACTACCGTCCGTTCCCCCCTGCCCCCCGCCCCGGCCCCCTTTCCCTCTCCTCTGGCTGCTCTAGTCTCTGAGACACAACAATATTGAAACTAGGCCCGTTAGTAACCCTGCAGTGACCCCTACGTGCGCCAGTGAAAGCAGAAGTCCCGCATCTCTCACTTTGAATCAAAAGCTAGAAATGGTGAAGCTTAGTGAGGAAGGGCACGTTGACGGCTGAGACAGACTGAAAGCTGGGTCCTTTGTGCCAAACTGCAGCCACGTTGCAAGTGCCGAGGAAACGTTCGTGGAGGACATGAAGAGTGCTTTTCCAGCGAACGCACAAGTGACAAGAAAGCGAAGCAGTCTTATTTCCGACACGGAGAAAGTGTGAGTGGTCTAGACAGAAGAGCAGACCGGCCACAACATTCCCTTGAGCCAAAGTCTGACCCAGAGCAAGCCCTCAAAACTCTCTTCAACTTTCTGAAGGCGGAGAGAGGCGAGGAAGCTGCAAGAGAAAAATTGGAAGCTGCAGGGGTGGGGGTTGAGGAAAGAAGCCGACTCTGTGACGTGAAAGTAAAGGCGAAGCAGCCAGTGCTAATGTAGAAGCTACAGCAAGTTCTCCAGAAGGTCTGGCTAAGATCGTTCACGAAGGTGGTTGGTGTAGACAGAGCAGCTGTCTGTGGAAGACGATGCGTGCCATCAAGGACTTGCACACCTAGAGGGAAGTCCGTGCCTGCCTTCGGAGCTTCAAAGGACAGGGCTCTCTTGTTAGGGGCTAACACAGCTGGTGACCTGAAACTGATGCTCACTGGCCATTCTGAAAATGCTGGGGCCCTCCAGAATTACGCTAAATCCGCTCTGCTCTATAAATGGAACAACCAGGCCTGGATGACAGCACATCTGTTTACAACATGGTTTACTGAATATTTGAGGCCCACCGTTGAGATCTTCTGCCCAGGGAAAAAGCAGAAAAAAAGATTCCTTTCAAGTTTTGCTCTTCATCCATCCATTGATCATGCTGCCTGGTCACCCAAGAGCTCTGATGGAGATTGTGCCCTGAGATGAATGTTTTCGTGCCTTTTGACACGGCGTCCGTTCCACAGCCCGTGGATCAAGGAGTCATTCTGACTCTTATTTTTTAAGAAATACATTTCATAAAGTTGCAGGTGCCACAGACAGTGAGTGATTCCTCTGATGGATCTGGGCAAAGTAAATTAAATCCCTCCTGAAATGGAAAGCCATTAAGAACAACGGGAAGAGGTCAAAATATCCTTTATAAGAGTTTGGCAGAAGTTGACTCCCACCCTCGGGGATGACTTTGGAGGTTGGGGATGGCCGTGGAGACAGTCACGGCGGATGTGGTGGAAACAGCGAGAGAACCAGGACTAGAAGCGGGCCCTGAAGGTGGACGGCGTTGCTGGGATCTCGCGATAGGACGCGACGGGGTGAGGACTGCTTCTCACGGCTGAGCAGAGAACGTGATTTCTTGAGATGGAATCTGCTCCTGCTGACGATGCTGTGAAGCCGGTTGAAGTGTCAACGAAGGATTTGGAATACTACACAAACTTGGTAGTTAAAGCAGGGCAGGGTTTGAAAAGACTGGTTCTAATTTTGAGGAAAGTTCTGTGGGTGAAATGCTCTCAGACAGCATCTCGTGCTATAGAGAAATCGTTCACCAAAGGACGAGTCCGTCAGTGTGGCAGACTTGATGATCTTCTTTTCAGAAATGCCGCAGCCACCCCAACGACCTTCATCATCACTACCCCCATCAGTCAGCAGTGAGCCAGGACCCTTCCCCAGCAAAGAGGTTATGACTCGCTGAAGGCTTAGGTGATGGGTTGCAGTTTTTCACAATGAAGTGTTTTTTAATTAAGGTATCTGCATTGTTTTTTTCTGGACGTAATATCGCACATTTAATGGACACGGTATAATGTCAACCTAACTCTTATGTGCACTGGGAGACCAAAAATTTCATTCCATTGGCTTTATTGCAATGCTGACTTTACTGTGGTGGTCTGGAACTGAACCCATAATACCTCTGTCGCATGCCTGTCTCTAGGATTTTCCCAGTTTTTCACGATCTAAAATAACTCTAGAAGTGAATGTTTTTCAGACGTCTTGTATCTGAGAGGATATATTTAAGTTCTAGAAGTTGGGATTACTGAGGCAAAGGCCATAAAGACTCTTACACTGTTAGCTTTCTTTCCGGGAATGAGTATCTGTTTGTTTTTTCTTGCTAATGTTTTTCAAAGGCCAGGGTAGAATAGTAAATGTTTCCGGAACATTTACTATTAAATGCCCACCGCATTTAAGATCTGTAGGATGCAGGTTTAGCGAGATGCTACAGAATGATTTTTGTTTTCCCTTCATTAGGGGCAATGGCTTAGTAAATTTCGTTTTTTAATTAATGAAGTGTTTTGCTTCATTGAACACATACGGAATTCAGTGCTGCAACACTTGTCAGGTATCTGTCACGTGCCAGGCATGTTGCTCGATAGAGAAAGAAAATGAAAACAAAATAAAAATGGTTTCTCCCTGGCAAGATCTTAGACCCTAGAAGAAGAGAAAGACCCATAATCATCATAAACATTTGATGGGGTCATAAACCGTACGTGCATAGAGTGAATCTAGAAAGTGCCGATGGGGGATTGAAGAGAGGGGTTACTTGTGTGGGGTGGGGACAGCGTTTGAGCTGAGCCTTCAGAAGAATAGGCTGTCATTAGGAGGAGCCAGGAGTGTGGAGTCCTGTCGGGGCGAAATGACATTTAAGGGCGTAATGAAGATTATTTAGAGTGTGGAGGATAGCCAGTGTTTTACAGTAAAATACTCAACCCTAAATTTGCAGGTCATTTTACTCTCTGTTCGAGGATACACGTAGTCCTTATTCCTAATCGGGAGTTACTTCTTATCTCTGGCAAACACCTTTCGCAGAATGGTCTTTCATGCTTTTCTCGTTGTGTCAGTCTGTTACTGAATTATATAGACTGATGGGACAGATGGATTTCAGTCTCCCCTCCCATCCAAAGGAGCTAGCAGCTCTAAGGAACTGGTTCTCCTCCACCAATCATAGGCATCATGTGCAGTTTGCCTTATCATTAGGGACCTGTATTTCAGAATAAGGATTTCTTAACAGCGGACTGATGTCGTTCATCTATGTTGAAGCCGTATTGAGTATGAATTAGATTTATGTGGTTTGTCGATGACGGGTGGGGTGGGATAGTCTTCAGATGTTCAGAATGTTGCTTTGCCAATATAAAAGTAATTGGTAGAAAGATGCAAAACTGGGCAGTGCTGGGTTATTAAAACTACTAATGGTTTGTTAATGGAATCCTAAAGTGTGATAGTTCTTTTAAGGACATGGTGTGAATGTCTTTTATGAAATTCTGTCTCCGTGTTTATTTGACTAGGATGAAAGTTAAAAAACTGCCCATGATTCTAGCTCTGCACCTGAAGAGGTTTAAGTACATGGATCAGCTTCATCGATACACAAAACTGTCTTACCGGGTAGTTTTTCCTTTAGAACTTCGTCTGTTTAACACCTCTGGCGACGCAACCAATCCTGACAGAATGTACGACCTCGTCGCCGTGGTGGTTCACTGTGGAAGGTAACTGCATCCGAGGGACGAGCTGGCAAGGTTCTTGGTCTGTGGGGCGGGCGTTCAGGATGGTCCTGGCGTAGATCTTTCCGAGGCTCTTGATGCTCCCAGGTTGTCGTGTCAGGATAGGTTGATTGCAAGATGGATGTTTCAGGTACAGTGCGTTTATCATTTCCTCCTTAAACTTTGGTATACTGAAATATTACTGCATTGAAACATTACTACATTTGGTTCCACGCCTCTGTGTTCACGTAGCTACTAGATGTGTATCGCTAGCCGTAACTTACTGCTTTGTGTTGTGTTGTTTATCAGTTTGTATGTTTCCCTTATGAGAACAGGCACCTCTTAAAACAGGAAATGATTTGTCCGTTAACAAAAGAGTAACAACATTTAGGACGCCTGGGTGGCTCAGTGGGTTGAGCGTCTGACTCTTGATTTCAGCTTGTGTCATCATCTCACGGTTTGTGGGTTCAAGCCCCACATCAGGCTCTGTGCTGACAGCGCAGAGCCTGCTTAGGATCCTCTGTCTCCCTCTCTCCGCCCCTCCCCTGCTCGTTCTCTCTCTCTCTCTCAGAATAAATACAGATTAAGAGCATTTAAAAGTCTTTCTTATTTTTTATTAGATTTATCTGTAGTAAGATTTCACACGAGAGCAGAGATGGTTTACTTTGCCTGCATCCTTTAACCGTCGAGGACGCTCGTCCTCGGCAAGCCCGTGCCGGTCCAGCTATGCGTTCTCTCTCCTCAGTGGCGCATAGATTTCTAACAGGTGCAGGTGCTTGCGGAAGTCTTAAGTGTGACCCTTTCGGCCCGTCTCAGGCCCCCCCCCCCCCCCCCCACCCTTCCTGGAGTCCTCAGCCCTGTCCCTCCCACCTCCTCTCTCGCCAGACGGCGTCTGTCCGTTCCACTGCGCCTGTAGCTCTGCTTTTATGTTCTGTTTTGCCCCGAAATGTGTTTGTGGAGGGTTATCTGCTGCACTGACCGTGTCCTCGGGCAGGAAGCGTTGGTGTCTTTCTGATCCCCACAGAAAGCGACACACGTGCACACGTTAGGCACTCACGCCCACTGCAGTGAGCGTGTTTTATGTTCAGGATGCAAATCCCTAATAAACGGCCTTCCTGGGCGCCTAGTAAGTTTAGGAGCCTCAGCCCTTCCTCCTCCTATTAGTTTCTGTAACCGACTCTGTCTGTTCTTCAAACCACCTGTTTGCCGAAGGAAAAAGCCAAGCTGCCCGATGCCTAACTTTTGTGTCCCCCACCTGCCTCCTCCCTCTCAGGCTCTGTTCCTCAGCCTTTCTGTGATTCTCTCTGCCTTTCTACCACCTTAAAAAAGTACAAAACAAAACAAAAAATAAAATACAATTCTTAGCCTCTTATATAAACACGTGATTCTTTAGATGAACCCCCAAGAAATGGGCAAAATCTGTTTATTTTGGTTCTTATTTCAGAATTTTAGAATTAAAAGCCTTCTTAAAAAAATAGTTCTGAGGGGTTTTCGTCTGTGGGGAAAGAGCGGTCCTCTTGTTTGTGTCGCTTTGTCACCTCGGGTACTCGTCTCCCCCAACCGGGTCAGAGGAGCCGACACCAGGAGGCACAGAGGCTGCTTATTCCTTTATCTCATGTTGCTACTCTTTTTTTTTCAACGTTTTTTATTTATTTATTTTTTGGGGACAGAGAGAGACAGAGCATGAACGGGGGAGGGGCAGAGAGAGAGGGAGACACAGAATCGGAAACAGGCTCCAGGCTCCGAGCCATCAGCCCAGAGCCTGACGCGGGGCTCGAACTCACGGACCGCGAGATCGTGACCTGGCTGAAGTCGGACGCTTAACCGACTGCGCCACCCAGGCGCCCCACATGTTGCTACTCTTAAGATAATGTTCACATTAACAATACTTTGTGTGGAAAATTATCTCAAATTCTATACTATAACAATTACAATGGAATTATAATTTAATGAAGAATTATGTAGAAGCTTTTTATAATGAATCATACTTAAACGGGGAGAGGTTGAAATCTTCACCACGTCTTTTATAAAGCAAAGGATTTATTGTTGTTGAAGAAACAGTCCCACATGCATTTTTATGAGTTTCTAGATTTCTTTATTCCAGATTTGTTTAAAATGAGACGGAGAGACCATTCCAATAGTGGTGCTAAGATCTAGGTACTTAAAAATAGCACTAATAATACTAACAAAATGTCATTTGTTTTTAAAGAAGTTTATGAAGGTCAAGCTTGATTGATTTCATAACTGTAGATTTGATATCTTGTTTAACTATCACACGATACCTTTCCTCAAGAGGAAAACTTTTCCGAAGAGAGTAAGACTTAGAAAAAAATTTTTACTTGTGTTGTTCTGTAGTTTCACTCAGACAGTGACACCCCCACCCCCCTCAAAATGCTAGAAAAAAATGTATTTACATTTTTCATAGAAGCAAATTTGAAAATTATTTTAAAAATAATAAGTTAAAAAAGACAAATAATTTTAATAGTGTAACTTCATATAAATAGAATGCTGATTATATCTTTCAAAGTAGAGTGCTAATTATTTGATTTTAAAATAGAATGCCAGTTCACATCAGTGTGGCTTGATACTTTGGGGAAGGATAGGTAAGGACTATTTTTATCGGTTTCAGTTATGCTGCTTTATAGAACGTGAAATTCGGGCATAGAAGAATGATGTTAATAAAACATTGTATGAAATTAACTTTTCTTTCTCTTTGTTTTAGTGGTCCCAATCGAGGACATTATATCGCAATAGTTAAGAGTCATGATTTTTGGTTGTTGTTTGATGACGACATTGTAGAAGTAAGTAGTTCCTGAATTTCTTATTTTTCTTCAAAGTTGGGTGTGTATTTCACTCTTCTCTTTTCTCCCAGCCTCTCATTCATATGACAGGTGACGAATATTAGGCAACTGTTGAGGTCTTCAGATTATCTGATTCCTACTTCTTACTCCCCAACAGGCAATCCCAATGCTTGAATGGTCAGGTAACCTTTAAAATGCTTAGGATAAAACAAAAGCTTTCGACAACAGAGCTAGCTTAAAAAAAAAAAAAAAAAAAAAGCTTTCAATTTTTGAAAAAAAATTGAGGTTAAAAAAATTATTGAGTTATAATATACATAAAGTACACAAATCTTAAGCAACAACTTGAATTTTTATGTGAATGTGCACGCACCCGTATTTGCATGTGCGCGCGCGCGCGCGCTCTCTCTCTCTCTCTCTCTCTCTCTCTCTCTGTAACCACTATCAAGATCAAGTGCACTTTCAGCACCCCAGTGAGCCTCCTTTATCCTCTTTCTGGTCCGTCCTCACAGCTTTCCTCCCTTCTCCCCACCATCCCCTTCACCGGCTCCTGGCTCTTTTGAGGCTTATCATTCTCATTATTGTTTTGCCTCTGTTTGAATATAAATGGACTCGTTCAATATGCCTTCTTTTGTGTCTGCCCTTTTCCGCTCACCATTGTATCTAGCAGTTTATTCGTGTTGCCAATAGTAGGGTTTTCTTTTTTATTGTAATTGCCCGTTGTCAGAACAGAACAAGTTAGAAGCTTGCCTTTTTGCCCGTTACTGAAATAAAACTGCCTCCATGACCCCGGTGTCTTTTGCTAGACACGCGCACTCACTTTTCTTGGGCGTGTTAGGTTGGACCATCTGAAATTGCCATTTTCGTAGGCCACGAATGGTTGGGAATTCGTGGTTTCTTACAGTCCAGGTAGAAATTCTGTTCCCTAGGCATAGGATTGCTGGATCAAAGGGTAGTTTTGTGTGTTCAGCTTTAGAAGACAACGTGACACGTTTCCCCAAAGTCTCCGAATCGTTTTACATTCCTACGAGCTGTGTCTGAGAGTCCTGTTTGCTTCATGTTCTTACCAGTACTTGGCATTATCAGCCCTGTTAACTTAAGCTGTTCTTACTGTGCAGAGCTGTTTTATAGCCCCAATGAAAGACACGATTCTAAGAAATGTGGGAGGTTTTATTGGATTGAAGCAGTTCCAAGAGCTCACTTTCGTACTAATGCTTACATTTTGCCCCGCAGAAAATTGATGCACAAGCTATTGAAGAATTCTACGGGTTGACATCAGATATCTCAAAGAACTCTGAGTCTGGTTACATCCTTTTCTATCAGTCTCGGGACTGAGGGGGACCGTGATGAAGAGATACTTTCTGCCTCATTTCTTCTCTGGTTATTTTGCAAAGGATCAAGCACTGATTTTTCAAGAAAAGAGAAATGCAGGAAGCTCAGGGGGCAGTAGCACACTTTGCACACAATAAAGCAAAGACTATGGATTCACACGCTCTTCCTATCATGGTAGTTGATTTATTTGCTCAGGTATCATGCCGTCCGTGCAGTTCCACACAACAAGGAAGTGAGATCAGAGATAGCAGCTCCTCTCGTGAAACCGCCTTCCAGTAATTGACATGCATTTTCTCTTTATTCGTTGCACCAGTAATGGTTTGAACTCCTTGGGGGTGCAGGAGAAAGAGTGGGAATCTGTGCTAGGTTGTAGCGATCATTTCGGGAGGTGATCCTGAACGCACCGCGTAAATTTGCCCGTGTCGAATACACACACATAGAAGGAACACCCGGTGGTCTTTTCAGGCGTAAACCAGAACTACATTTGGGCCCAACACTTGCAGTTGCCTTTCTGATGTAAACACGAACAGATGACTAGAATCCGGTGTCAGGAAGACAAATATGTTTTGCTTCTCTGAAGAAGCTTATAATAATATACAGTATATGTATATGTAGGGAACAACTGGTCAAAAGTGGCTTTTTGTTTCCCCAAGGGGAAAGACTGGCTTTGTAATTATAAGTTTTTTTCTTATTTATTTTACTTAAAACTGGTAGAGTCTAAGTATTGTATGAAGTGCCCACGATTCTGTCAGTAAATTTGAGCTTATTTTTATTAGTTTTTGTCAATTGAACTCGTCCTTTTGTTTGTTTCTATTTTTAAGGTGAATTTTAAACCATTTTAAATCGTAAGATACCTTAAGAAAAATTACACTGAGAGGAGGTAGATACTCTTTTTCAGGAGGAACTGATATCTCTGACTAAATATTTGTCCTTTTGTCATGGTTTATAAGTCACTGATTTTACTCAGCTTTAATTTTGTAAAGTAAAAAAACTTCTCAAAAACTCCCTGTCACGG